GATGGTCGTTGAAGCACTACGGCAGCATCATTGCGAACGGCATTGGGCTCGTCACCCAGCACAAGACTACCGAATTCTCAACTGCAAGATGGCGATCTGGCCTTGTCCATCGCCGACGATATGATGTTTGCGACTTGTGGCAACAAGCAATACTTTCACCACCAATGGCGGTCATGACGTTCTAGCAACCGTTGTTCTATCGAACTTCAAAAGAAACAAAGGCATATATTGCATTCGCGGCCCCAGGACGCATCAACGGCCCTCGTCTTTGGCCCGCGCAGCACCGTCTTGGGCCACTGGGTATTGCAAAGGTTCTGGTGCGTAGTCCTTTTCTAGCATGTTTGTTTCGACCAAAGGAATCGCTGCAGCATGCAAACGCTAGTTCTTTGCATTTAAATTGCGTGGCCTCAGACTAAGCGGTTTCGGTATCTGCTGTCGAAGGACCGTCCACAAACTTCTTTGGCGTTGAACCACCGACCATCCAATGACGACACGCCGTGAAGGGGTTCGCGTCAGCTACAACGCGGCCACCAATCTGCTCATGCACCCCGAGGACCGTGGCCGCGACACTGTCAAAGTTCGATTCACCTCGGTCTTGGAGCAGCCCAACCTCGTTGTCGATGGCGTCGACGACCTTCTTTCGATACCACTCTCGAGCGAACATACCGCGCAGCTTGCAGCGCTCTACGGCAGCCGCGTCCCCGCGAGTGCGATGGCCTTTCAAAACACAGCGTGGGATGCATTTGTCCAGTTGAAAATGTGCGGCATCGCCAACAACTTTCTGAGTACATCCAGAGCCTGTACGGCCCACGTTTCGCACCTCGTTCTCGATGTAACCGGTGCGAACGCAGCCTTGTACGAGCCCCACGACGTGCCCGAAGGTACCTATGGCCGGCTCATTGTGCAATTACATGCACATACGCGGGTGGCCAGCTTGCCTTGACAACAAGCAAGAAGAAGACCAAGCCGTGGCAAAGCTGTGAACTCAATGCTCTCTCCATGTGCGCAATGTACCTCTCGGTGCAAGTGTCGTCCGAGCCTATCACGGACGGGTGCCGCGTTGCGCTCATCTACCACCTCGTCTACGACGACCCGGCTCCCGGCTTTTCCATTGAGCAGCCAAGTCGAACTGCAGCTGCGGCGGTGTTGACGGCATTGGCCAGTATTCGGTACCAGGCGCAAAAATACGGCATCTTTCAGATTCCCAACGACGACGGCGACAATGACACGAGCCAGAAGCCACCTACGAGCTTTAAGCACATACGCGGATACGCGCTGGCATTCGTCAACGCCCTTGACGCGTCGGGCGAGTACGACTATGTGCTGGCCAGAGCAACCAAGAAACGGTGCGAGTACCTCGCCCGCCCGTCCAACGCAGCGATCCCACGTAGCGTCTTGCGAGGCCTCGATAAAACGTCCTGCCACTTCAAATCGTGGCTACCGGCCATCGTTTTTTGGCCCAAGCGACACCGGCTTCGGTTCCTCGGTGGCTTTTTACCTGCCCTCGCTTGCGTTCGCAGCGTCGATCAAGGCGTCGCGCACGAAGACCTATCCGTCCAGAGACGCGCTTCTGCTGGCACTCGTTGAAGCCGCAAGCGGCATTGATGACGACCCCGATGACGACGAAGACGAAGATGGCTTTATGTATGGGTTCCGCAATGACGACGTGCTGTCGACCACGCGGCTCAAGAAGACGCACGAACCAGAGCTACCTGCGGCGACAATGCTGCAGCTCCTTCTCGATGCCAACAGCGTCGACGTCATTGACGAATACCTCCGCCACAGCTGCCAGAACCACGACCATCCCAAGATGCACCACATTGGGCCCAAGCTCCATGCGTGCCTTACTACGTACGGTTGGTCTGCCCTTGGCTCTGCAGTACAAGCAATGCTGCAGCGCTGGGTCGCAACGTCGCCGCCCGAGATCCTGCATTTGCCGTTTGTGCTGCTCGCGAGTCTGGCCGGCGTGCTGGACGACCCGATCTGCGCGCCGCTCGACCATCCGCGCCTCCCCGAGGTCGTCCAAGCCGCGTACGTGGCCCTTCGCAGCGCGTGCGATGCAGCAAAAGCACTGGATGATCAGCGTAACTTCCGGGGCAGAAAAGGCGACCGCAGCTGGGACGCGGCGTTGTGCACCGTTCAATGCAGCCTTTTGATCGAGGCATACGTGCGCGACAGCACCCTCTCGTTGTGGTGGAAGTGCAACACCCGACTGCCGCCTATTCTCTTGTCGATGGTGTACGCGTACTGGGCGCCAAATGGTTTGATGGCCGCAATGACCGAGAAGCATGCGGTTTCGCTCTACCACGAGCACGTGCTGCTGCCCGCGATCGGGTTGGCAGTGATTACCAACTCGCGCGTGAGCATCGCGCCGTACGTACCCGCCAAGACTCGACGAATCGACTGGATCTTGTCTCGATCCAAGTCGATGACGGCGAACTTGGGCAATCTATTGTACCACGCGTCGCGTTGCAACGACCCCCGCGATGTGTACGGTGTGTATGGCTGGTACTTGGCCGCCTTTACTGAAGGTGGCGACGTCGATGATGAGGACGATCGATGCTGGTTGCTCTCCACCGTATGCAGCATCGCCAAGCGCATTCCGATCCTCAGCAGGAACCTCACCGAGGTGGCAACCTGTGTGGCCAAGGCCGTCGACTGCCTCACGCTGCGACCTGGGACCCTCGACTACTTGGTGCCAATGGCGTGCGACGACGCAGTACCTCTGGACGAGAAGCTGCGCCACGAATATTCGTGTCGGCGCTGTGTCGCGGACGCCCTTGGCTTCTTCAACGCTGCGAAAGCACTTGGTCGTTGTGGCCGAGGCCGACGTGCCCGAGTTTAAGGACTGGTGTATCCCGCTCGATGCAGCCACAAGCTGCAAATGCCGAGCGTGCACCGATTTGCACTCGTATTTACGGTCCACGACCCGGCGCAGGATGGAGCTTGGATCGATGAAGAAGAAGGATCCGTGCAAGCAGTGGACCTCGCTACTCGGCTCGCTGGAGCGCAGCGGCGTTATCGAGCGCATTGAACCCCGGCGTTATCGAGCGCATTGAACCCCGGCGTCTGGTGAAGATCCAAGGGCCGGGACAGATCGACGACGACAAGCGCTTGCGCATGTATATCCAGCGACGCGCCGCCAGTCAACACGCCGCCAACGAGCTTGCGCTGGTGACTGCCTATGTAGGCGCTACACACAGCGACGACCCCGCGGCCAAGCGGCGGTGCGTCGCGTAGTTTGCACGGACGTCAGACGTAGCCACATGTATCTATCGTGATGACGACCTTACGTATACCCAGACCCAATAGTGGGATTCAAGATGGCCATCAAACCTTGATGGAATGACGAACGGGTCCAATCCAGCGATCTCATTGGCTAAAACTCCGGCAAAATTCAAAAGCTCCATCAAGCTCCATCAACCATCAAAACTACGAAGTTCGCCTGAACTGGCTACTTTCATCACTCAGAAAGCCAAATGCTCCATCAACAAAAAGGCTGATGGAACGTTTGATGGAAAAACGGGTCAAACGGGTGTCAGAGTCGCATGCCATCTTATTAGCGATTAAATCTCCATAGTGAGCGGCGCAACCATACCGATTTCTTCTTGGGTAGCGCCTGCCTTCTTCAAGGCCTCCCGGGCTTGCGCCATCTTCTCAATGGCCGCAAACTTTGCGTGCAGCAGCTTGGCATCCCCGAGAGTCGTCTCCATCGCTAAACGCGCTTTCTCCATGGCTACGCGCTCAGTCTCCAGGTCGAGGCGTCTTTCCTCGGCGACTAAGCGCCCCTTCTCGATGGCGGAAGGATCGCCAGTCAAGCCGGAGAGCGTGGTCATGACGTCCTTGCTCTAAGACCCTACGTTTGCCTTGGCTGGGCGCGCGGCTGGTGGCGGTAAAGGGTAGACCCGGCATGCGAACACTAGCCGTTGTGCGCTCACACGCCGAAGCGAAGGAACAAGAGCGGAAAAGAGCGCCGCCAAGCTTTGCTCGACAGCATTTGCAACTAAGAACATGCTTATTATTGTGTGCGTGTGTATGTATCATCGGTCATCAAAGTGGGGTTCAAGCTGATCTTTTTTGATGGGAATGCACTCGGCGCCACCCTTTTTTTTCGGCACTTCTGATTGGACAAAAATCGGCGAATTGTTTTTCCATCAAGCCGTTCCATCAAGATTTGATGGACAACTTGAATCCCACTAATAGGACTGCACTTGAACCAATATACTTCAAACAAAAGATGGCCTTTTGGGCTCGTGCCACACACGCCACGCGCCTACTTGTGCGTTCACGTGACGTCGTCGCTGGTCGCTGCGACCATATCGGATGACAAGCGTTCGAAAAGCTCTGACGAGGCACGTCTGGCGCTGGCGACCTCGATCGAGAACACATTTGAATAGTTCCTGGGCAGTCAGGTACAAACAGAAAACGACTCGGAAGGACCGACAAGTGAGTAGCCCGAGCAGACCAAGTATGCGACCTTTGGAGACTATGGTCAAGTTCTCAGCGTCATCAAGAAAGGGCATCCACTCTGGTTTGTTCGTGCTCTCAGCAGCGTCGCCAAGCGCATCCCAAACTACGCCAACGGCAGAACCGAGTTGGCGTCATTGGTGGCCAAAGCGGCCACAGGCATTCAGGTTCCACCCGGCGAACTCGAAAACATGGTTCGGTCCTATGACACAATATGAACGCGATCCCACTTGACGTCGCGTTGCGCCACGAGCACTTGTGTCGGTGCTGCCTCGCCGACGCGCTCAGCTTCTTCGACACCGCCGCGCCTTACCACGTGGGCCTTTTCATCAACAGCTTTCATAGGGCCCTGAAGCGAAACGTCAGGAAGCGGGTCGTGTCGGTGATGCTACCACTCTTGAAGGACTTTGGTAATCGCTGGCTCCACCTTGCCGTTAGCGCGCGCGACTGCATCGCCGAGGTGCTCCGAAGCTACGAGGCGGCCGTGTTCGCCATCCATGTGCCCGCGTTCAAGGACTGGAGCATCCTCTGCGATGAGGGTTGCACTTGTGGCGCCTGCACCCAACTGCGCTCATTTTTGCGGTCGCCGACAGAGCGCACCATGCCGCCCGAGACTGAGACTCCGTGCGAGCAGTGGACCACGTTGCTCACGACACTCGACCGCAGCACCGTTGCACCGTTGTCCAGCGCACGCACGAGCGCCTGACCAAAGTCAAAGCGCCGGAACATGTTGAAAGAGACGGACATTTGCGCGCGTACATACAACTACGCGAGAATCGCCAACGCGCGTCAGAGCATCTCGCGCAAATGGTGGATTTCATCGAAAGCTCAAAGGCCGACAGCCAAGCAGCCAAGCGGCAGCGCGTGGCTTAGTCGATACCGACAAAGAGTTCATGCTTGAATAAACATACATAACGATAGAACCACCATAAACCAAAGATATTAGTCTATATATTACCCTTAGATGATTCTTGCACACTAAAATGAGCAAACGCGTGTCCTAAAATGAGTGAATGCTTTCGAGATTGCATGTGGATTTCTGTGTGTCGCGACAGCGTGCCACGTCATGAAATGTGAAACGCTTCAAGTTTCAAAACAAGATCCAACGACGGTTCCTGCTGACCAACCGAATGCGAAAACCGATCCCAACTCAGCTTACGACCACCAACCAATCCGCGACAGCCACCCGTTGAATGGAATGAGCAAACTGCAGACAACGACGACGAAAGGCGTCCGTGATCGCGAGTATGCGTTGGTGCTCCAGCATCTTGGCATCATTCCATCATCTCTTGGCTGCGCGCCCAAGCGCATAGCCCCCGTGCCCAAATGTCGAAGCGGCAGTCGAGCAGCTGCGAGCGATTGCCGCAGCGCCTCATCAGTATCATAGCCGCGTCGGGTTCTCCACGCTGCAAACGCACAAGGATTTCTCAACGCAGCAAGGTAGCGATCTGGCACTCGTTCAAGCGCTTGAAGCCACAGCGTCCTATGACGTGGTCCTTGCCGCTTGTGACGCCACCGGTCACATCGTCTCGGTTGTTGTCAAGAACGGCCACGATATTCCTGCGACCGCTCTCTCGAGCCTCAATGGAGTCCATGTCGCGTACTGCATTCGCGGCCCCGTGACGTCGACAACTGCGCTGGTCTTTTGGCCGAAACAGCACCGTCTCCGGCAACTGGGTATTGCGAAAGCTCTGGCGTACGTCCAAGAGGTTGTTCATGGAACTGCGAGTGTGACGATTCTCGGGTATCCCTCGACCAAGGACGTGGTGACAGCGCTCATCGAGATGGTCGTGCACAACTCGGACGTAGGCCGAGTGCGCTGTCGCCAAGCCAGCTACGTGGGGGGCAATGGCTGGTGCATTTCCTTCTCGAAATCGTGGTTTGAGCGAACGAATGAGCCTGCGCCGCTCGGCGCCAGTATCCTGCAGCTCCTCCTCGATGTCGACGACGTCGAACTGGTCTCCGAGTACCTTTCCAAAAGCTGCGAGAACGAGTCGCATCCGAAACTCTACCTTTTGGGTCCCAAGCTCCATGCATGCTTTGTCCGGTACTAGTACGGCTACGCACAGCTAGCGCCCGCCTTCCACGCCCTCTTGAAGCGCTGGGGAAGAACGTCATATGCCGACGCTGTCCATCTGCCGTTTGTGCTGCTTGCGAGCTTGGCCGGTGTCTCGGACGACCCGATCTGCTCCCCATTGCCAGGCTCGAACGCGCTCATCCAGGAAGCCTACATTGCACTTCATGGGTCCTGCAACGTCGCCACGATCCTGACGGTACCCGATGGCGAAGCACACAACGACAACCAAGCGACTGACGCTGCGCTGCAGCTCCTCAAAAGCTGCCTCCTGCTCGAAGCGTCCTTCGGAGAGAACGCTTGCGTGCCACCGCGCATCCTCTCGCACGTGCCAGGTTTGACATCATTTGTCTATTTCCCGATCATGTACGTGCTCCAACCCGCGATTGCATACGCCGTGCAGCACAACCCACACGTAAAGCTTGGGGCGTTCAGCGTCAGTGCAGTCGCGGCGCGCATGGAGGGCAGTTTTGATCAAGATATGTCTCCGCTGGCAATGGCTGGTTCATTTTTGCTGCGGTTGCTGGACGACAAATGTGGCTGGACGCTGCAAAGAGCCATCAACGACATGCTTGAGGATACGGACGGTGACTGTGACTCGGAGGCCATTATCTGTGGCATTTGCGCGCTTTCCAAGTTCATTGAGATCCCGATCGAAGTAGTGACGGATCTTGCGCGCCACGTTGCCCGCGCCACGATCTGTCTCACGTCACACAGAAACCGTCTGGATACTGTCCTTCCATACTATTGCGATAGTCTTTTGCCACTTACGCATTCTGAACGAACGCGCCAAACCCAGCGATTTGTCATCGCCGACGCCTTGAACTTCTTCCATCGTGCCGCGCCACACCATATTGGCATGCTGCTTGCAAAACTCGAGAGTCAGCTCGGCGGTGACGACGACGACCCTTTCTACTCGGTCGCCGACGTCGCAACGGTGTTTTTACAGCTTCTTGAGACCTTTCAAGAACGCTGGCCAGGCCTCGACATTGGAGTCTGCATTTGCATCGCCCAAGCGCTCCACGCAGCACTTCAAGGCACAAAGGAGCCGGATCCAGAGATCCTCGCTGCATTGAGTCGCCTCACGGCCGACCATGAGGTGCCAACCAAACGTCAGCGTACGGCGTGAAGTACTCGAGCTACAGTACACTGTTGTTGGACTCGACAACATTATGTTCCACCAAATATACATTGTCTTTTCATTGCATTTTGGCACTACTGCCGATATTGAGCCTTGGAATGCGGCTGATGACGAGAGCACAGGTTTGCAGGAAACGATGCATCTGGTCGTTGCTCGTTCCGCCACGTCATGGAATCGAGGCCTATCAGCGCGCCACGTCAAACTGCAACACGAAACGCTCAAAGCAAACACTCCTGCCCGACCATTTCATGAAAATATTTTGGTGATAAATCACGAAAAGTGGTTTATCGAGTTTCAGTGGCACGAGGCTTTACTGTACACGAAATAAAAAATACCTAAAGTCATTACGGTACCGGTAACAAACCGTCTGACCTATGAATCGCACGAGTCAACATCTCGCAACCGTCCCGCCTTTCGAGAAGCGCCTCACGACCCGAGATGACCTCATGGACCTCACCTCCCTGGCGCCGGACGAGGAGTTTTGGACCGTGCTGGCTGAGGCGATCGTTGACGCTTGTACCGGCGCCCCACGCACGACGCTGTCAAATACTTGCGTGCACGTCGGCGGCAATCTTCCTGCATGTAGCTCCCAGCCAGTGCTGCTTGGGCCAAAAGACGAGTGGCGTTGTCGAATAGACATAAAGGCTGTTTTCGCGTTGGCTCCTATGAGGCTCGAGGGAATTCTTGCTGAAATGTCACGACCGTCCTTGACAGCAAAAGCGTTGATGCAGCTGGCGTCGTCACAAGTCGCAAGCACCATACCAGTGGCATATAGGGCTTGGACAAGGGCCAGATCGTCATCTTGCAGCAAGGAGAAATTGGTAATCTTGTGCTGCGTGGAAAACCCGACGCGGCTGTTGTACTGACGGCGCGCAGCCGCGATGGCTCGCAGCATCTCGACCGCTAGTGTTGGCGGCCAACGTGGCTCTGTCGCGCGGTATCGTAGCCTCGTCAAGATGCTCCAGCATCGTAGCGTACTCGCGATCGAGTTGGAACCTTTGGTCGATGTTGTTGTCTGATCGCTAATGTCAACATGAAGAATTGTTGGTATTTGCGGTTTTCTGCCCTTGCGCCAGTTCCAACTCCAAGCGTTTCACTTTGCATGACGTGGCGGGCTCTCCGAGCACGCTAGTGCCAGAAGCACATTCACAGGCATTTCTTGCACAGCGACCTCCATCTCGTATAAAGATACAAGATGTCTTTGTCGCAAGAAACGAATTCTACAAGAGCCATGAATACATCGTGCACTCGGTCTAAGTGGTCGCTCGATGCAACAGCTTTGGATCAACCAAGCAAAGATGACGTGACGTGACATGTAAAATGCAATGCAATAAATTCTTAGGGGATGCCGTCTGATGGAATCAGCGTTCGTGGTCTTGATCACACGCGTTCGTTTCATCGACTAGGCGACGCACAGGCGCTTGGTCTCGTGCTGTCCGTCCTTGGCGCTTCCGATGACTGCGACCACCATGGCAAGGAGCTCCGACACGCGTTGGCGGTCCTCGCGTTGCTGTATGCAGATGCGCAACAAGTAGGCATCTTTAACGTGTTCCGGTCCTGTGACCTTGGCGATGCCATACTCCTTGCGCCGGACACGGTTGGTACCCTCGAGTTGCGCAAGCGTAGTTGTCCAGTGTTCGCACGGCGTGGTATTCTCTTGATCCATCTCGAGCTTGCGCTGTGTTTGCGAGCGCAAAAACGCGTGCATTTTTGTACAGGCGTGACATGCGCAGTTGGTCGTCCCATTGATCTCGATGCTCCAGTCTTTGAACTTACGTACGACAAGAGCCGCCGTATCGGCCAAGTGCACTCGCAGGGCCTCCGCAATGTCGTTCCGGACGCTCAGTGCAAGGATAGGCCAGCGAGAGCCAAAGTCTTGCAGCAGCGGTACTATCACGCTTGCTGCCCGCAGCGGCGCGACGTGGCTGCCTCGAAGGTACTTTTGGAGCTTGTTGATGAGGAGCCCGACGTGGAAGGGTGCGACATCATTGAAGAAGCCAAGGGCGTCCGAGATGCTGCACCGACACGTGTACTCGTGGCGCAACTCATCATCGAGAGGCACCGCATCGCCACCGTACGATCGAACCACGTTGTCGAGTTCGCCCGGCGCAAGCGTGACGCTTCGCATGGCTTTCGCCGCCAACTTGGCGAGATCGGTGACGTGCTTGCTGCGCATCGTGAGGCGCTTACTGACGTTGCAGATCGCGCGGACGAGCCAAAGCATGTGGTCGTTCTCGTGAAAACCGAGTTCGATAAAGAAATCATAAAACGTCTCGAGCTTGTCCTTGCGCGCCGTCGCAAAGTAAAAGAGACTGCCCGTGGCTGCCGCGATCGACAGCGAGGCGTCACTCGAGCCGTCGCTCTCGGGGTGGTCAAACGGTTTGAGGACATAGGGCGCATAGTCGACACGTGGGTTCAGCTCCATGGCCAACCCGATCGCGGGGAGGAGTGCATGGTTTTGAAAGTTCTTGGAGCGAGCGTCGCCTGTCATCGCTGCCATGATACCAACCGGTGCCCAGTAGCTATGGACCATCGAGATTAGGACCGGCGGAAGAGACTTGTCCAGCGCCCAGGACGACGATACCACAACTGCGTCGCGAAGCAACGCTTCAATCAAGAGACTGCACTTGACCATGTGCAGCGCCGCATCCATCGCGATCGGCTTGCAGCGCCGCCCTCTTGACAAAACGTCAAAATCCAATGCTTTTGCTGCATCGCATGCACTGCGAAGGGCCACGTACGCGGCTTGGATGACCTCGGGGAGGCGCGGATGGTCGAGCGGCGCGCAGATCGGGTCGTCCAGCACGCCGGCCAGACTCGCGAGCAGCACAAACGGCAAATGCAGGATCTCGGGCGGCGACGTTGCGACCCAGCGCTGCACCATTGCTTGTACTGCAGAGCCAAGGGCAGACCAACCGTACGTAGTAAGGCACGCATGGAGCTTGGGTCCAATGTGGTGCATCTTGGGATGATCGTGGTTTTGGCAGCTGTGGCGGAGGTATTCATCGATGAGGTCGATGTTGTTGACGTCGAGAAGAAATTGCAGCATCGTCGCTCCTGGTAGCTCAGGCTCGTGCGTCTTCTTGAGCCATGTGTCGGAGAGCGTATCGTCGTGTTCGCTGTCATTGTTAAAGAAGAAATCGTGTTCGGAGAAGGTTGCTGAACGATGCCTTTCGCTGTCATTGTCGCTGTCGTTGTCGGAGCCATAGAGGAAATCCCCACGTCGTCTTGGCCCTTGTCGTCAATGCCGCTGGCGACTTCAATGAGCGCGAGGATGAGCGCGTCGTTGGACGGATACCCGAGGTCTTCGTCGGCGCCACCTTGGACGACGCTGCGGGCGTAAGCGAGGGCGGGTTGAAAGCCACCGAGAAATCGAAGCCGGTGGCGCTTGGCCCAAAAGAGAAGAGTGCATGACGATCCCCCGAAGTCGCGCGTCGTCTCGTCGAGGCCTTGCAGCACCTTGGGCGGTATCAGAGCGTTTGGGGGGCGAACAATGAACTTGGGGGGCTTCTCAGTGTAAGTAGCCAGCACGTAGTCGTACTCGCCCGACGTATCGAGGGCGTTGACAAGCGCCAAAGCACGTCCGCGCAAATCTGCAAAGCTTAGCGGTTTCTTCTTTGATTAATGGTCCTTGCGGTCCGTGTGGTAGTAGAAGGCCTTGTGGGGGACATACCGCGCACTGGCCATCGCTGTCAACTGTGCTGCGGCCGTTGCTTGATTTAGTGGCTCGAGACGGCTGCTGGTGACAGAGGTGTCGTGCGCAGGAAGCTCGAGCGCATTCATCACCGAGTAGTAGGCGATGTTGGCGTAGCGGTTGCCCACCGCCGTGACGCCGCCCATCTTCATTGTGTTTATTCGGCTCGCTGAAGAATCTGAAATGCTTGTGGTTCGTATCGTTTGTCCGAATACAGGTATCCCTAGCACTTGAAACGGTCGTTTGGACTATGTCGTCGGAGGCAATTCCGGTGTACGAGTGTATCTAGATAGCACTTGCCATCTCGACGCATCCTCTTGTCGACGGTGTACGTGCACTGGTGGCCAGCAAATCTTTTGGTTACGACGCACTTCTCAGGCTACCATACCTAGTAACTACTTCTTGCGATTTTTGCACTGCTCATCGTGCGTCCACGAGCCAGAGCTGCTCGATCCTCTCTGGCTTCGTTTTACAGTGTATCACAGCATCGCGACGCCGGTATCTTGTGTTATAGCGGAGCGCATGTGCTGTCTCTGTCCAGTTGGACTCGGTCGCTCAACGGAGGACCAAGGCCGACGATATTATCTGGTGTTGAAAGGGTCAGTCCAATACAGTGGACGACTCACTTCAACCAAGTGTTGTTATTATCGACTTCTTAATGACGAGATTGCACTAGTTTGGCATCAGATCGGAACAGCGAGGGTCGCCATCTGACGTGGAAGATTGAAGCTCGAGCTCCGCGTGGCAGGGTATACGGGTCGTGTAGTAGTATTGAGCAGGCCTTGTTGAGACTCTTTCCTGATACCCGACTGCGTTCGCTGCATAGCAAAATTCGAAAGCCCATACTGGTACAAACATTGCTTATTCACACTTGAGTGGCAAGAACGCGAAAATGTCAGACACCTTTCATCGTCGCTCGTTATGCCACGTCATGGTATTCCGGGCGCTTGGCTTGCCACGTCATCGTATTATGAAACGCTCAATGGCTGCGCACATTTATGAACCAAGAACCATAGCTCAAGCCGGCCACAACCATAGATGTAGATTTGGCGATGTCGTAATAATCTCTTAGTATAAAATGAGGTCCTGATCGCATCGCTGCAGGTAAAAGCGCCATCAACTCGTGAAAACAATGTATACTATTGTCGATATACCACGGAAAGTTCCCGAAACGCCATATCGCAAACCAAGTTTTGTCGAGGATATACACAAGGAATTAAAGACGGGATACCCACGCTTTGCAGCGTGTGCGGGCACTTGGCCAGCACCTTCACGCGGATCGATCTGCGAGGCGGCTCAGCGCTGCGAGGACCGCCGAATCGGCCCTTGCCCTACCCTGAAGCGCCGTGTGCAGTGACTTGGCCATGCCAGCTCGAACGCCGACATCCAAGTTTGGCCAGCGCACATGAAAGGTCTCGAGCAGCGGCAACATTACTGCCACCACGTCGGCGGGAAACTTGATGTTTTCTTCATAGTCGTCGTCGCCGTCAAGCTGACCCCGCAGTTTCTCAAACAGCATGCCGACATGGTGCGGCGCCGCGCGGTTGAAGAAGGACAAGGCGTCCGCGATGATATAGCGCCAAGCGAGGTGTATTCTTGCGGATCGCGTCGCGGGCACGGGGCCATCGCAGTAGTACGGAAGAATCCCGTCCAAATCACGCTGCGCGACAAAGCATTTGGTAGCGCGGGCGACGTGGTCCGAGAGGTACGTCACTTGCTCGATCGGGATCGCAATGAACTTGGAGAGCACGCAGATGCCGCAAATCAAGGGCATATTCGTACACATGCCGTCCGTATCTCCAAGCATATCAAGAATATCGCTGAGAAGCGTTGCGCCGCGCGGGCTCTCCAAGAGACGTAGTAAGAACGAACCGGCCATCGCTAATGGTGACATGCTATGGTCGAAATCACCGCGCACGCGCTTGGCCACGGCGTGGACGCTGAACGCACCGAGTGCCACGTGGGGGTTGTGGTGCGCAGCAAATGCCACCGCGGGTGCGAGTACGTACATGCACGGAAAGTCGGTCCAAGACTCGAGGTCTGGTAGATGCGAGAGGATGCTAGATGGAAGCGACTCGGCGTTTCCAAAATACGCTTCGAGCAAGAGGCAGCTCTTGAGGAGCTGCAAGGCGGCGTCGGTCGCTTGGTGGTCGACGTCCCCGTCCTCACAGGGCACATTCATGATCTCTTCGACGTTGCACGATGCGCGAAGCACAGTGTAAGCCGCTTGTAGGTGCTGGCGCGCGTCCGAGTCTGTCATCGAGAGGCAGATCGGGTCGTCCGAGACACCGGCCAAGCTCGCAAGCAGCACAAACGGCAGATGGACAGCGTCGGCATATGACATTCTTCCCCAGCGCTTCAAGAGGGCGTGGAAGGCGGGCGCTAGCTGCGCGTAGCCGTACCGGACAATGCATGCATGGAGCTTGGGACCGAAAAGGTAGAGTTTCGGATGCGACTCGTTCTCACAGCTTTTGAAAAGGTACCATTTGAGCAACTTGACATCATCGAAATCGAGGAGCAGCTGCAGCATACTGGCACCCAGCGGCGCAGGCTCGTGCGTTCGCTGAAACCAGGAAGTCGTGAAGCAAGGCGAAAGTACGCGTCCATCACGTAGCCTTCTTGGCGAAAGCGTTCTCGGCCCACATCCGAGTCGCGCCCGGCCATCTCGATGAGTGCCGCCACCATATCTTTGGTCGAGGAATACCCAAGTAGCGTCGCATCTGCAGTCCCGTCAACGGCGTCTTCAACGTGAGCCAGAGCCATTGCAAGCTGCAGTTGCCGGAGTCGGTGTTGCTTGGGCCAAAAGATGAGTGCAGTTGTCAACTAACGTCGATTCGGTGCGCGGGAGCTCTGAGGCTGGACCGTTCGGCGCATGGTCGAGAGGTCGTATCGACGCCAAGATGCTGAAGCACCAAAGCGTACTTGCGGTCAAGGACGCCTGCGGTCGCCGTTGTGTGCAGTTTGCTAATTTCAATGGTTTGTGTGGTCTCAAAACGTTGGATCTTAATCCGGATGTTGAGCGTTTCGCATGTCATGACGTGGCAGGCTCCCAGGTCACAGCCATCGACTTCACGCAAATCATCCACACACACGTTCATGAGCAGGTCATATCTGTGTTTAATCCTATTAACGCATTCACATGACGCGAGGTAGGAGTATAAAGTACTTATGCCAAACATCGTCGAGCACCATTGGTCGATAAGGCGGCACGTAGGAAATGAACACTGCACGAAAGTGAGATCCTTGGCGACTACATTGTGCGCAATCGTTTGGCTGGCAGTCTCGGGGTGGATGCATTTGCCAATCAATGCGACTAGGACATCGGAAGCGGCCGTCTTTGCGCCCTGAAGCGCAGTGCTTGGGCCAATCAGCCCCGAACGCCCACGTCCAATGTTTGGCCAGCGCTCTTTAAAGGTCTGCCAAAGCGGCAAAACACGGTGGCGACGTCAGCGACCGAGTCAGATCGATCATCGTCGTCGCCTTCGAGCTGACTCTGGCGTTTTTCAAGCAACACACCAACATGGTGCAGCGCGGTTGACGAAGGACCAGGTGTCCGCGATGACATACCGCTGAGTTTTACTTCCGCGTCTTTTGATGGCATCGGACCATCACAGTAGTACGAAGCGACCGCGTCCTGCCGTTCTGTGTCAAGCAGATCGTGACGCGGGCGACGGGGAGCGTCGCGAGCTCAACGGGAATGTCGAAGCACTTGAAAAGCACGCATCGCCGAGATGGCAAGGCCGACCACTCGCCAAAGTCTTGGGATGTCTTGACGCTTCGTGAATCTACCTTTGGTTGGCATCAGCTCAGCGTCGTTTCGTATAGAGCAGAGCAACCACGGGTATATACCCTTGGAGTAGCGTAGGAACCTGCAGAGGACTGCACTCTCCAACATAAGCTTTGGCGACAGCGTTCACCGATCCTACGTACGTCCCACGAAAGCGATGACTCGGAAGCGTGACGCGCTGAGCGATGGCTCGTCGACAGCCAAATCCAAACGGACACACCGTCGCCACTGAGGTCCGTGCATCGAACTGCGCAAGCAGCACCTCTTGTACTGGCTACCAACACGCCATTTTGTGCGCTTGTGTCACATCCAACGCCAAGAAATGCCACTGCAAGTTGCGTGTTTTTCGAAGCGATGGTCCCGTGACACCTACGCCAGCACCTTTTCTCGCTTCATGACGCGGTCGTCGAACTTGACGAGGAAGACCGTCTTGTCCGGCTGCCCGTTCCCAACCTCGACGGTATGCGCTTCGACTTGCGAGTACTAGGCATGACGTCAGGAGCCATACGAAGAGGCGCTTGATCGTACAAAGCCCGCCGAGTCGAGGATGCCACGGATGACACCAGCAATGTACGCTGCGCAGTTGAGCTGGCCCATGTCGACTGGCACCGAGATGAACTTGTTGGTGAGCGGGTCGAGCTCGTGGATCATGTCTACGTCCCGTCGCGCATGAGCCTCGTCGTAGCATGTTCGCGGTGCTACATTCGTTTTCGTTTTCAGTACTGCGCTCGAGCGCGTCCGCTGCCTTCCCAAAGAGCGTCTTCCAGCAGACCGAAACGACAAACTGGAGCATGTTGAGGAGCCGCGTCTCGCGCCGCAGCTTGTCCCTAGCCACATGGGTCGTCGTCCATGCGCTTGCCGCGTCGTCGTACGCACCGCGCAATGTTGCCGTTCATATCGCGGTAGCTCAGAAGTTCGAGCACACGGACGCCGACGCCGTAGCCGGCCGAGTCGAGGAGGCGCTCGAGGTCCGAGATGTTTTCGACGCGCCGCTGGTAGTACTGGACCATCTCGCAAAAGAGGAACGAGAAGGCCGACTCGGACACTTCGGCCTTGCCGCGCCCGAGCGGCCGGTCGAGGTGGCTCTTCTTGCCGCGGGCAGCGGTCGCCGCCGGCTGCAGCATGAGGTTGCTCCCGCTGCTGCGCCCGTAGGCGCTGGCCGGGTTAAGGGACATGGCCGAGAAGGCCGCGTTGATCGTCGTGTTCGCCCCTTCATACATCATCCCGTCGACCTCGAACCTCGGACAAAGCGTATTTTCGGATTTTCGGATTTTTGATTTTCGGATTTTCGGATTTTTGAGCTCTATGTATTTTATTTTTCACATTTTTAATTTAATTGTGGGATCCTGGGCAAGTTGCCTGGCCTGTATTTGGGACGCCCGCTTCCATACTACTCGTAGCTGGACGACGATCGCGATGCGAGAATGCGAACGAGTAGAAGATAGTAGAATGGCATTAGGGTAGTCGTCGTATGTACTAGGCCTTTCGGCAGTCTGTGCAGTACCATGCGCCGGCGGGCTGCTCGGTCAAGCCGACGCAGTCAAAGTGGAACCACTCGTACTTGCAGTCTTCGTTGTCGCACCCGATCATTTGGCCGTACGAGACGCGCCGGCAGTGGCAGTAGAGCGGCTCGTTCGGGTCGATCGGAAGGTCCTCGAGCGCAATGTGCCCCGTGCCTACAACCGCACTCGCCTCGGGAATCGCTTCCAGCTGCGCCTCGGCAGCGTTGCGCTTCCGGTTCGAGCCCGCGCTCTTCTTGACCGTGGCCACAGGCACGGCGGCCTTCTTGTTGGTGGTCGCGGTCGCGGCTTGCGGCACGGCCGGTGCGACGGCCGCGACCGGTTTCTTGATGACAATCTTCTCGTCTTCGTACTCGCCGTTGGCCTGCAAAAGCGCCGTGTAGTTGGCGAGGTCGTTGTCGAGCCGGCGAATGTGGTGGTCAATCAGGTCGTAGCTCTGCGACGCAATCGCCACCTTCTCGTCCATCTTTTGGATGACCAAGTGGCGCTTCGCCTTCAAGGACGCGAGGAGCGGATTCGGTGGCGGGCTTGCTTCATCGGGCGGCGCGCTCGGGTCGTCCTTTGGCACTTCTTGCTCGACCAACGCGCGGAGCTCTTCCTCGGTGGGCTCGGGCAGCGACGTGTCGCTGCAGCGGACGCGGACGCGCTCGCGGGCGTCGCGCAGGTACTCGGACTGGGACTCGCGTAGCTCTTCCATGATCCCGCGCGTCGCCTTGTCGAGCTCGCGCATGAGCTCAAAGTTGCGCTTGACCTCGGACGGCAGCATGTAGATGCTCTCGAGGTAGTCCTCGAGGTACGTGCCCATCGTCGTCGTGCTTGCGGCTCCACCGGTCGAATTTTATTCCTACACCCACTCTCACGACGCATACAATATATTTCACGCATTTCCATACAAATATCTCGATAGCATTCAATTTAGCATTAAAACGTGCCGCTTCCACGATTTAAAATATAAAACGCATCGCGTTTTATTAGGATTTTCAACGGCGCCAAACTGCGCCAAACTGTACCAATCCCGCCGACAACAATGACCACAGTTATCCCTAGTCGCATTCGACTAAACGTAAAAATTCTCAGTCGACTACGTTCATTCGTACATCGCCGGCCCATGCGCAGAGCTTCCTGCAGAGCTAACGGGGTGCAAACAAACTTGATCTCACTCTTTCAATGTACAACTTGACACTCTATGTATCTGCGACTAGGCGACAAAGGTCGTCGCGGCGCCAAAGCCCATGACGTGCTTGTAGTGGGCTTTCTCAAGCCGCGTTGGCTGGTCCATGTGCCAATTGCCCGAGCTCGTGCGTCGATGGAACGAGCGTTTTGGCTCGACGTAGCCTTCAAAAATGACTAGACAGACAATTATGTACACAATCCCAACAGTTATAAACGGTGGGCGAACGTACGCTTGAGGTCGCACGAGCCGACAAAGTCGGGAAAGATCGTGCTCGGGTCCACGCCGTGCGGCCCAAACTGGACTGCGAGGGCTTGGTCGAGGTTGGCCTTCTGGGCCCAAGCCGGCAGCGGCTTGTTGAGCGCCGCATAGTCCTCCGTGTCCATGTCGCTCTCGTCGCTACCGCACACTCCATGGTCCCATATGTCTTTGCATATCACCAACCTTTCTTCGGGCTCGGACATGGTGTACGAGGCGGGAGGCTCAACCTCGAGAACGCTCTTGGCCGCAGTGATCTTTTGGCGCTTTGTTGGTAGCCCGCTGATGGTCTACGCCCACGAGCCGTTAGCAACTCGACCGATTACAGTAAGACAGAACCGGTTTGATGGCCTTGCGCGACGAGGTTCCTTTGGCCGACATTTTGGTCTTGACGGGGCATTTTGGTAGCGTCGCCGGCTCCTTGAGTCTCTTGAGCGTCGCATGCTGGACACTGGGCACCGCGGGCTTGCCGGTACTCCGCGGTTTCTATAGATACGTCACCACCAAGTCCTCGACGGGATCCATGACGCTCACCTTGTGCGTGGGGCGGGCTCGGTCCGGCACCTTCTTGGCTTCTTGTGCATACATGTCGTGTAGCCGCAGTTTGCGCGCCGCGTCAAAGTCGCGTTGCTTCTTCTCTGTCGCTTCACGGGCCTAGTACACGCCGTGCCTTCGGTATGTGGTTGGCGGCAGCCGAACCTTCTCTCTCTCTTCCCGCTCTTGCATCTTCTTGGCCTCTTGCGCCGCGTGCATGCATTGCAAGCGCCGCTTCCGCGCCGCGTCAAGGTCTCGCTGCTTCTTCTCTGCCGCCTCGTCACGGACCTATTTGACCATGGTGCTCTCAGCACCAAGAAGGTACGCGACACGAGCGACACCTTGTCCGGCTCGTCGCGCGGCTTTTTGCGGACGCTGTCGTCGTGCTTGCGGTGAATGGCGTACTTTTGGTGCAGCGCTTCGCGCCGAAGCTCCTTCTCGAGCATCTTCTTCTCATCCGCCAACCGACTCCGCTCGGCTTCCAACAGCGACGGAATCATCGTCGCCCCGCACGTCGAGGACGTACGCTTGCGCGCACCAAAGGATGTCAGTCCAGAGACGAGGTTGGGCGGGCGCTTGCTCAGCGCACTTGGCGGCGCAGCGACCGACGACGTCCGCGATCCTGGGTGCAACTGTCGACTCGAGCTCGCAGCCGACACTTGGTCGTGCTCCACCAGCGGTGGCTCTTGAAAGAGTGGCTCGACCGCCTTGGAAAGGCTACGCTCCTTGGCGACGCGCTGTTTGGCGAGCGCCCGCGCCGTCTCGCGCAGCCGTTTGGACTCGCGCTCAATGACGTCGCGCAGCTCGGGGGACGAGAGGCGCCCCTCGGGTATCCCGGGTGCGTCAAAGGGCGACGCCACAGGACTTAGCCGCGCGGTCGAGAGGTCCAACACCGACAGGGGCGGCACCAAAGAGCTTCGTCGGGGCGCCATCGAGAGCCGCTCCAGTTCAATGTACGTCGGTGGCGGCGTCTTGCGCACCGAGGTACCTAGCACGTGGCGCTGCATGGCCGACTTGATCGTCGCAAAGCCCTTGGCCAAAAAGGACGTGCTGTGCTCGTCGTCGTCCGACGATTGACTGCTGCTGTCCGAGGACATCAAGTCGGGCCGGCCACCGACGGCGGCCGTCTCTGCCGGCGACTTTGTTGATTTGAGAATGTCACCTGCTGAAGGTGCGGCGTCGGTATCGCCACGCAGACTCTCGGGCTCGTTGCTGGCACGTTCAGACTCTGTCGGTACCAGCGCCGTGTCGACCGTTGTCGTGGTGGCGTTGTCCGGCGCGGTTGGAGCGACTTGGACCAGAGTTGCATGCAGTGGGGCCGTCGGAGATGCAGCATGACTCAGCGGGACGATCGGGGAGCGGCTGGACTTCATACGAGAAGACAAGCCTTTCGAGTCGCTGAGAGAGGCTGGTACAGGTGGAGGCGTTTTGAGCAAAATAGCGATCTCGTGGGTGGGTGTCTCGGCCGGCGGGTCGATGGGGGGATAGGAAGCGGCGCCGTCGACGTTCGAGTGCATCGGACTTGCCATGGACGCTGAGCTTGAAGGTTCGTTCGAGATAGCGCTCGGTTGCGTGCTCGGGTCGGGCGACGCCTCCTCGTCGAACGCGTCGGCAAGGGATCGCGCCGGATTGCGCGCAGCTGGCTTGGACGACTTGGCCGTCGGGACCGGCGATCCGATTTCTCCCCAAGGAGACGCCGCTGGGCTGTCGTCGTCGATTGCGCTGATAGAGCAGTTTCCATCGATCGAGGCTGGACCGTCGTCGTCGTCCAGCGCCATCTCTTCCTGCCGCATGGCCTCGGCAAGGCGCAGCACTAGGACAGCTTTGAGACCGTAGCACACAAGACCACGCGTCTGGAGCTTCTTTTTCAGGTCGACGACACGCAGCTTCATGAGCTCTTCTTCCTTGGTATCGGTTGGGGTACTCGGGGCTGCCCCGTCCTGATCTCATCAGTAGCATCATGACATGGCGAGCCGCAGGGATCGTACCGCCATCGCGCGGCCTCTCTTCTTTCCTCGTCGAGGCTTCTTCGTGGGACGCTCGCTTGTCTCGCTCGCCGAGCCCGGGTCGAGGTCGCTCAGGTTCAAGCGCGGCCGGGTCCGCTTCATCGGCGCTCGACGCAGCTCCTGCGCGGCCTCCATGCAGTACGCAGCCAGCCACGTCGAGCTTGCAGCCATGCTTCCGTCGACGTTGTCGCATGCTCGGGCGAGTCCATCC